ATATATATAAATTGTCACTGATTTATAAAGAAAAGAAGAATATTGAAGACTCAAAAGCCAAATACAGCGTTCAGACTATGGCATACATTTTGCGTGTGCGAAATCAAACCGAAAGGGCCGATCGAATTACAGGTGGCTAGCGACGAAAGTGATGTACATAGGTATAATAATAACATGGGATTACGCTAGGTAGAAGGAAAATTAGCACAAGGGCGTGTAGATATGTATTTATGTATGTATGTACATATGTGTGTGTGCGTGCGTGTGTGTGTGTGTGTGTGTGTGTGTGTGTGTGTGTGTGTGTGTGTGTGTGTGTGTGTGTGTGTGTGTGTGTGTTTCTCTCCTTGTACATGTATTCATAAGATGGGCTCGTTAGTTCGTTCTAGGGTGTTTCCAGCGAACGTGTCCATCCGACAAAAGGATGTTTCTCTACGCGGTACGTACGTACGTACGTAGTATTATACCGTTGCCGTACTTGGGTTATATAACATTGCAGATTGCGTGAGGTCAGTTGCAACGGTATGGTAGATCTATACGGGGTGACCAACTTAGCCAGAAAACTCGATCTGATTACCGTGCAACAAAAGCTGTTAAGCTATTCCGCGCCCGAATTATATATAGATGTATGCTAAAATATATCGCATGACGAGATTTTTTAAATCAACGTTGATCACCCCGCAAATATATGTATTTACAGATACATATATACACGTTACATATAAATATATTCGTATTTCAAATAATTAATGTATTCATAGTCAACGCTTGTACAAATAAAAATTATTTTTTAGCATAAAGTGAAACATTACGTTGTGTATGAAAATTCAAAAATTTTAACATTTAAAAATTTTATAACTCTTGAGAAAACGCACGATGTTTAAAAATCTGAACGTTTAATCCAGAAAATTAAGCTATTACAAATATTATTACAAACATCATATTTTAAATTTATATTGTATATAAAGTAATTCCTGTTTTAAATTTGAAAGAAAGTGATTTATCAGTAGGATCATATATCTACTTGTTCTTTTGCTATACAGCAAAAATCTAAAGCAAAATCTAAAGATACTTTTCTCAGCATCGGTGAATTTTTTGAATACATTTAAATATATGTATATGCAACGGGATGACACTTGTCGGAAGGCAAACAACATCATATATAGATATATCGATAATGCCACACGGTGCAGCGTTATTACAATACGCCTTGGTACGTATACAGGTAGACAAAAGGTAGTACTACGTTTGGTCCCAATGAGAGAAAAAGAGAAAGATAGAGAGAAAAAGCTACGGTAGAGAGAAATGAGTTGTTAGATGGAGAGGTCTCGTGGATGTAGTAACTAATGGAGGTAAGAGCTAGAGGTAGCATTAACCCGTGCCAGCTGGAGAATCTAAGGCAGGGTGGAGTCGTAAAGAAAAAAAAAATACTGCCGGGCATATCTGTACGAGTGAGTGTCACTGTGTATGTATGCTATATCAACCGCGCGTCAACCCTGAGACCCTTGCGAGAGCCTATCACTTTCTCCCCGGCTTTTTCTTGCCTCGCGATGCCTGCGAGAAAAGGGCTATTACCTGTAGATCCTGCTTCGCCGCCTCCGCGCCTGCCCTTGTGTGAAAAGTCACGAATCCCACCGGCTGAAATGAGAAAGAAGAATACAAGAAGCATTTCGTTAGTATCCAAGAATTAGCATCTCTCTGTCTCTCTCTCTCTCCCCTGGCGAGCATTCATTACGCGAGCGCCTCATCGCCGCCATTAGTTTGCCCTCGAACGAGCTTAGAATCACCAACGCGTTTCTGCCATTTGTATCATTGTTTTCATTTGGGAACGCTCGTTGCATCGCTCATAGTAAATACCCCAGTGAAATAAAAAATTGTTATGCAAAATAATCCGTGATTATCGCATAATGTTAAAAACGAAGTCCTTGTTTAATTTTAACAATAAGATAAAAAGTCTTCATAAAAAGATATCGATAAAGATTATTATTTCAATAATTTTTTAACTTATTGAAATGATATTAAATAGCTTTGGTTATAAGATCATAAGGATCCATTGAAATAAAATAAACTTATATAAAATATAAATTTTGTGTTATTTATTTGCATTTTTGAAACTTTATTCGCAAAAAAAGCCTTCATTTTTATTTTAGAGCAATAGTCCAGAAAGCGAAAGATCCGAGTTCAATTCCCGATCCAATCGATCGCGCTTAAATTAATTTTTATTTCTTTCAAATTTTTACATATCTAAACAAAATAATTAGTTAAATGCTAATTGCAAATTACCGACTACATAGATATTTTGTACAATTAATCATCTAAAATTATTTTCAGAACGTATCTGATAAGATGAAGTCAGATCCAACCAGATGCTTCGTTTTAGTCATTTAATAAATGGATAAAAAGGTAAATAATAGTATAAAACTTCTTCCCTTACATTTCTAAATGAAAATATATACACAAGCAAAAAAAGGCTATATTTGGTCAAAGCAAATATATAGAAGTGTCTAATAATATTTTTGAGTAAATTTTATTCAAGTAAAAAAATACAATAAAGTTTACTAATTAACTGTAAATAATTGCAGTAAAAACAAAAAGTACTTTGACTGATGAAGTTGTAAAGTCACATTTGACTCCTACCTTGTCATTAAAAGATTAACAATATTAAATTTTTCTTTAACCAACATAAACACATACATTCAATTCATTCTTTTATATAATAAACAACAAAGAACAAGTATAACTCTTTCAATCAAAAAAAATTTTGAATTCATTGTTGCTAATATTATTATGTAATTATTTTATCTTAAAAGTAGAAATGTAATGATTCCAATATCATATAAGAATTACAACAATTTCTTTCTTGCAGAATATAAACTGTATAAATGTAATGCAAATTAAGTATATTATAAAGAAATAAATTATTTTACTTATTCATGATAATTTAATTTGTAATTTTGTAACAATATGCAATAAATCCAATAAATGTAAAAAGATATTCTATTATCAATACAGAGAGTGAATCAGAGTAGTTGAATCAGTTTTTTATCCTACGAAAAAATTATCGATCTCACACCTAATCCATTTAGCGATATAGATCAGATGAGTGGATACATCGTTCGAATTGCTGGGCGCATTGAGAAAAAGACGCATTTTTAATATATTGTAACAATTTTCATAACTCAACGTCAAACGTGCCTATTTTCGCGCTCAAACCAATAGTTCGCACAATGTTATCCACACATTTGATCTGTATCGTCAAGTCGATAATTAAGTGTATAATCGATAATTTTCTCATAAGGTAAAAAACTGGTTAAACTACTCTGATTCACTTATATCTAGAACTATAGTTATATTATAGAAAATACCTGACTGACAAGATTATCGAGAAGTTGTACTCTCTCTTTTGGTTATACTTGCACTGTTGCATTTCTCAATATATATTTGCCCTTTTACCTGCGCGCGCGCATTCGCTAATTTATTCGGTAGACAGCATCGATTCCATCGGTTTATACGAAATTAACGGAGCAACGAGGACGATAGAGCATCGCGACGCGAAAATGCTCCGATCAATCCACACTAACGATCGCTCGTCAAGGCGAACCTACTACGCTTCATAATGCATCGCGTGATTATACCAACTGCAATCGAAGGTGTCGATTCTATCAATGTGAGAGATAGAAATACCCGATCGTTAACGCGGAGATTCGTTACTCGCTGCCGTTTACTTCCGCGCCACATCCCTCGAATATTCATGCATCCGAAAGAATAAAATTGGATCCGACTCGATTGAGTGCGCGCAATATCGAAACATAGAGACGCCGTGAAAAAGAAAAAGTTAGAATGTAAATGATATTTAGCTGTTCGTAAAATTCTAAAAAATTTCGCAATAATTTTCTTTATCTCAAAGGTCATATTATATATATATATATATATATATATATATACACACATACTTTCT